TATAAATTAACTGGCTTCAATCGTGAGTTTTGGATAGACATGTTCTCACTCATGACCATAACTGCCAGTGTTCTTACCTCCAGACCATAAGGACTGTCTCTACATTGAAGCACAACTCTTAAACTCTACCATCGCAGTATTGTAAATGACCACATGGGCCTTATTTTTATCATGAATGACCTCATTGCTGACAAAAATAAATGACCTCAGAACTTCAACTTACGAATAAAGCTTGTTTTAGTCGTTATTGAGAAGTTAAACTTTTCAGCAAAGCAAGGACTAGAAGACTTACATAAGTCAAATCCAATCTCTTGACCGTCATAAAGTGCTTTATATAACTTCATAACACTGAACTCAGAGTCTTTATGTTCCTTGCGGAACCATTAAACCTTTATCTTCATCATAGAAACACTGAACAGAGTCAGGAAACATTTCATTAGCGGTTAAAGCAATAACATCTTGCTTCACGCCTTTCATTCTGCAGTGAAATGCAACTTCATTTAAATCATTCGTGAGTAAGTCTATGTAAGTCTTCTTTCCACAAAATATTGACTTGTATGCTAAACTTTGTTTTCTTTATTTCTGCAAGTCGCTATGAAATTGACCAAGGTTTTTACCAATGAGAACTCTTCCATAACGTTTCTCAAACTCTTCAGCGAGGGTATCTTCATTGTAGAGATGCATACTGTCGTATCGCTATAGGTATATCAACCTATCTCAGCAGTACAGAATACTTCACACATTATTCTCTTCGACATAGATAGAATGTTAACACCAAGTGGACAGAAGTTAAAGTGTCTGCAAATGCTTTTCGTTAGCTTGAAAATAGTTTTATCTGAACCATCCAAACCTTCGAACTTCACTATATGGTTGTAGTTTCTGATGGCATATCTTATAGCATCTTTGTCATTACTATGGTTATTTTTGACTCAATAGGAGATAGAATAGTTTTGCCATAAATACTGTTCAGAATGAGCTTTATATTTTCTTGCAAAGGATTTCCTTCTTTCTTATACTTTAACCTTAACTCAAACAACTTCTTTACTTCATCTCTTATTCTAATATCTCTGTTTCCATCGTAATAGTATCCTTGCAACACTTCACATTTGACACCTTGATATTTTATGAGGTCTTGTAATGTTATATGGTCAACATACATTAAACAGCAAGTGTTTGAACTTCTGGGAACGTTAAGTTCTGGATTTAGTTCAGGGTCACAAACTATTAAAGGAAAGTGTCTATGTATTCCAATCTCTGTTATCTTAATGAGAACAAAGAAGCCGACATAAACTTTTCACCAATGGGTTCCTTTTGGTCGTCATCGAATAAATGTCTCATGAGATACTCTGTGCTTAGCATTCATCCTTCATAACCTTTGGAATTCCTTCTAAAGTATACAATCTTGCTATAGCGGATGGATATAATGAAACAGCGTCGAAGTCAGCAATGAGTTTCTTTTCGCTCTTTTGTTTCATGTTATCTGACAACATACATCTTCCACCTTGAATACAGCGTGAAATAAATTCTCTTGGTTTATTTGAGAGGTCATAAAGATTTCCATTCGGGAAGTACACTCTGTTCTCAAACAATTTGTTAGCAATAGAACAAATACTAACGTAGTCATAAACGTTTAAATCAAATTCTTTCAATAAGTCATTGCGGAACTTAACAAAACCTTCTCTTAAAATTCTTACATCTTGTTTGCAATAAAACGTGCTATATTTTTCTAAGTCGAAGTGGTTCTCATCTATTCTGCAACCTTTGATGGAATCTATGTTTTTCATGAATGTATCTGCATCCCGGATAAACTTACATGCTTCAGAAATGACACCAGTTCTGTTGTCATTTGCTAACAAAGTACTGCTGTAGTAGTTATATGGAAATACTTCTTTCGGTCCTGTTTGTAAGTTAAACATAGCAGGAAATAGTTTAAGCTTTCTTATTTATAACACTGTAAGAGTCTTTTATAATAATTGCCCTTCCTTTATATAAGCCAGTTATTTGCATTGTTCGTGAACCTTTAATGATGGGAGTTCCTTTCACTTCTGTCATGTGTCTTAAGATGAAGTTTATATCATAACTGAGGTTATGGAAATATATTAAACTCTTGTCAGGAAGTCGTTCCAAAAATTCTGTTGCACAGTTCTGACCCCAAATGCTTTCACTCACTGAACCATCTTCACTGTCGTAACATATGTTAAAAGCTTTATGAAAGCCATCGGTACTGCACTCAAAGTCAGCAAAGAAAACGTGCTCAGGAATGAACTTACATTTAGCTTTATTTACTTCTTTTGACTCTGCTTTCTTCTTCAGTTGTACACAATACTTTGGAGCATATGTCAAATCTTTAAATGGTGCAAGGTTCTGTTTATATAAGTCAGTCGTATATGTGAAAAGTTCTCCATAAGAAATAGGTTCGAAATATTTGCACTCCCACAATGTTTTCATAACATCCCATAACGGTGTTGTTCTATCCATGCGAACAATGTATTTACCATCTCTCTTTGTATAAATCTTCATTTGTTTCTCAATGTTCATTCCACCACACTCCTTCAAGATTTCTATATAGTTGCGAATGAAATATGTTGTCATTGGTAATCTTTCGTTTAGCATGTAGTGGTCTTCAACAAGAAGTAAGTCAATAGTTCGAGCAGTTTCACATTCTTTTGGTATATATCTCTTTATTTCATTATGTCTTGAGTCATTGAAATAACCAATGGTAACATTAAATGCTATACTTGTTGCGTCAGAAATTTCTTGTACTTTACTTTGAGGAAAGTCTCTAACACGAATGACTTCTCTCATGTGGTCAATAGTCTCTCATCTACTCCAGCCTGAATGCAAGCATAAACGAAACAATTGTCTTCTGTCATAAGTGTTGCAGTTCTTTTGTTCAGTTCATTGAAGATTTGGTAGCGCTCAAGATTTATAGGTAATGTGCAAAGATACTTCCAGAACTGACCGCTTCTCTTCTTATAAAACTTCTTTTCACCATTATCTTTCCAAAAGCTTTCTATAAGTGCTGGGTTTCCTGTTTGCTTAAGAGCTTCCAAAATGGCTTTCTGGTCATTTGTCAGTGTGCTTTCATCTCTATATGGTCGCTTCTGTGGCTTTCCTTTCTTAACATCTGACATCGTTAAGCCTTCATATTCTGTTAAATCATACATCTTTATTTCGGTAAGATTCTTTATGTTTGTCAAGAAGAAGTCATAGTGCATTTCAACAATACCTGCAGCATTTGCTTCTATCTCTGATATAAAGTTCTCCTTCAAGAGCTGATGTAGTAATGTTCCAATATTATTGAGGTTTAACGTAGAACATTCATACTTTCCACCAAGTTTATAACATACCATCCATCTTTGTTGGGAGTTTATTTTAATCTTCTCTAAGAGTCTCATGAAAACCTTACCGAAATGTTTGTGTAAGTAGTCTCTGTTTGGTTCATCTAAAGCTTCGATGTTAAAGTCAATGAGTCTATTGCCTGACTTCACATTCCTCTTCCTATTCTCTTCATCTTTCTTTAACCATCTCTCACCTTCTTTTGGTTTGTCGTCAATGGAACGAATGACATCGTTAGCTTTGCGAACTTGTTCTATAGCACTTTTAAACATCTCTCTTCTCTGTTGTTTCAGTGTGTCGTCTCTTCTTCTTGTTTCACCAACGTTCGCATTTGTTATGTCAAACATCTCACGCCTTACTTCATGAGGTATTGAACGTCTATGATATAAGTCAATAGCAACGTCATTTAAAGGAAATGCTCTTGCATGGAACTTCGTCCTCGCCGCGTTGCGGCTTTATGAACTCATGAATTCTATCATAACTTATTGCACCATTATAGTCATTGAGGATGTCAGCGAGTGCTTTTTTGTTTGTTGCGTAATGTTTGCAACATCTATGTTAGCTTCTGTAAGAAGTTGTTTTATTTCCGAGTGTTCTAACTTAGACAACTTCCGATACATCTTTAGTAGGAAATAAAAAAATATTTTTTGAAAAAATTAGATTAGATTTTTTTTAAGTTATTTTTCAAAATAATTTAATATTTTTATTTTAATGAAACACATGCAAGATTGCAAGTTCTTTTCATACAATGCTCTCGCTACTGCCATCAAGAATGAGTTCAATGGTGCTTCAAACGTTAATGTTATCTTTAACAAGAAGTTTGTGAAAGAATCTAAGTTTGGTCAGTATGTCAGACCATTAGCTATCGTCATTGACCGCAAACGTTATACTTCACAAGAGTTAGCAGTAGTTTTGAAACAAAAGAGTTTCTTCGTCAATGTCAAAGATACACACTATACTGTTATAAAGAACTCTAACATTGACTTCTTCAGTATTGCTTTAAATCTTTCCGAACAGAAAGAATATAAGAAGGGTGAAACAAATGTGAAATATTATCCTTCATCTCTGAAGACAATAACGAACAAAGATGTTATACAGAAATTCTTACCAAAGGTTGAAGAAGCTTCTATTGACATTGACGAAGAAGTGAAATGGTTGAAGAAATAGACCCTGAAGCTATTTAAGCAAAAATATATTTTTGGTTAGTCTTCATATCGATATTTTACAACAATTCCCCAATGTATAAACTTTTCATACGCTTTTTCATAAGCTTTATATACCTTCAGAAATTTTGCATAATCTTTAGAAGCATTTAGATATTGTTTAAATGCTTTGTATGTCTTCAGAAATTTTGCATAATCTTTTACATGTTGTTCGTTCTCTTCTTCTGTCATGAGTTCCGAATATTCTAAATTCATGTTCTTTCATATGAGATAAAATTTTATAAAAAAATAAAATTAGCTTAGATTTTTTTTTATTCTTCCTCTTTGAAGTTGTCGAAATATTCTGTTATCTTTTCCTTCAGTAGCGGTAAGTCTTCTTTGAAGGTAAGTATTGTACAACCTTTCATATCATAGTGTGTTTGAGGAAGAGTATTTTTGACAATTTCCTTTATTTGCTCATTCGGTGTCATTGAAATCGGTAAGTTTTCACGATAGAACCAGTTTCTGTCAGATTTGTAAATCTTAGCAAGGTCGTAAAAGCTTTTGTTGTTTCTTCTGACTAAATGCAACATAACCATATCTCTATCTTCTTCTTTCTCCAACTCTTCAGCGTAAATCATATACTTATAACTCTTTTCCTTTCCTTTTGGTACTGAACGTGGTATTCTTTTCTGTATGCTTTTGTCTTTGGATTCAATGACTTCATCTTTTGCTTGAAGTTTCTTTTCCATCTCTCCACGTTCTGCTTTATATAGTTCATCTAACATCATGAAAATATAACAAGCATAACGAGGTGAAGCCCACATTGCTACAGCATTTACAAGAAGTCTATGAACATAATAACCTTTCAAACCAGGTGCCAAATTCTTGCGATTTTCGTACGGAATCTCTTCCCTCGGTTTTCCGAGGGAAGCAATCATATGAGGAAATTCTTCTAAAAGTTCTTTTGCCTGTTGGTTTTCAAACCAATGATATGCTTGCTTTGTAGAAAGAAGAGCATTCATTATACTTTGCATTTGGTACATGTCATCTTTGACTGAACGAATGAGTCTCAATTGTTTGTTATACTGTATGTATTCGTATTCTTCATTTATGGCTTCATGAACGATAGCAGTTGTTGTGTTCTCTGTTGTTGACATATCTGTCTTTACATACAAAATAAAAAAATAAATAAAAATAAAATTAGCGTTATTTTTCTGTGTTAAAGAAATGTTAAAAATTCATGGTTACATATGTGAAAAGAAGTCACGAACAAATGAAGGTCATAAGATTCAGCACATAATTCTGAATTGAATGGTGTGTCAGACATGTCAAACCGTCAAGAATTGAAGGAGATACGAGGCTATAAAGATTTTGGATATTTTCTGACAAAACACGACGATAGAAAAAGTGGCAAAATTGAGAGAAAGTTGTTCCCCGACCAAAATGCAATCATGTTGAAAAGTGACATTTGTAAAGTTGGACGATAGGATTTCCTGAAAAAGTGCAAGACTTGTCTTGAATCAGGACAAGATTTGTCTTGAAAAAATACAAGACTTGTCTTGAATCAGGACAAAACTTTACAAAATGTAAACTTTACATAACCGTTTCTATCGTACATGATATTTAGTTGACATTGTAAACTATCTTCATGTAAAGTATGGCGGTTTGAAACCGTCGGGAACCTTCACTTTTTTGACGAACTTTCCGCAGCAATTTTTAAAATGTGTGAAAACTCAACGGTTTGACACGTGCCATATGTCATTTTACTCAGAATTTTGTGCTGAATTCAGCAAAAATAATGAGTTCATTTACTCACAATATTTTTGTACAAAACGACCCCAAACTTTTAACTTCTTTTCTGCAGCTTCTAATGCTATCTTAGCGAGTTCATATTCTCTAAATTCTCTCTTTAAATCTTCTTGTTCCCATTGGTCTAGTTCGTATGGAGAATCTCTATAACCATAACATATCTCACGTTCATGTTCTAATTGTTTTTCGCACATTTTTCCAACTTCTTGTTCGAACAAAGGTTTAGCATTCTCTACTGTATCTTCGAGTTCTTCTTCATCTAACTTCTCATGAACTTTCTTGTCTATGGAGTCCATAATTTTTCCAACTGCTATGCAATATTTTGGAGAAGCCCACATTGCTATATAGTTTATAAGTCTTGGGTCTACATACGTTCCTCTAACCTGTTTGATTTCATCAGGAATTCCTGCATGAATTTTGTATAAAAAGCAACCGCCGGAATTCAGACGGTTGCTATATTCTTCACAAAATGCCTTATAATACTCTTCCCAGGACTTATTTTCCAACAACTTTCTAAAGTCTTTCCTAAACTGCTGACACATATTTGTTGCATTTATATAACCATCCTTGTCTCTACGTAAGACTTCAATACCGTTATAAGTGCCTTTTGTGAATGTTTCGCCATTAGATTTGTTAGTGAATGTTTTTGCTTCGACTGACATATATGTCTTTACATACAAAATAAAAAAATAAATAAAAATAAAACTAACTTTATTTTTTCTGTCTTAAGGAAATTCACGATTTTTGTTGCTGAATTCAGCAAAAATATATTTTAGGGTAGATGGTTAGATCTAACCTCATTTCTACCCTCTTTTCTACCCCAGTTATTTTATAAGCGTTTTACATGGTAAACGTTATGAATTCGTGAGACTTTAAACAGTTTCGTAGCTTCTATTTCTTCTTTTAGTACATCGAATGTTTTAACGATACCGAAGGTTTCTTTATATTTCTTCTTGACGTCAGATAGAAGGAAATCTTCTGCTGTTGGATAGTTTTTGTTCAGAAATGCTAACATGTCCATTTTATCTTCTGCTGGTTTTTCTGCTTCTTTCTTTAAGTCTGCATAGTCGTTTCTCATACGTTCTATCTCTTTGACGGAGTAGTTATATTTCCTCATTGCTGCTTTACATTTTGAACATTGCGGGTTCATTTTTGCGTTATACATTGAAATAAAACCAGCTAAAACAACTAAAGCGTCAATTGCTCTCTTCATCTCAAACATAGCGGGTCTTATTTGTTTGTTCCATACCTTACCTCTTCTATCTTTATCTCTTATCTGCCATACACATTCAGCAACTAACGAAACAAAGTTGTCGTAGGTCTTAAATTCTTTAGATTTATATATGTCAGAGATGTTCTTATATACCATGTCGCAATCTTTGTCCATAACCTTATGGTTGCAATGAAAACCAAGGAATTCATAGTTTACCTTTCGTATGAACTTCTTTATTTCTACTGAGTCAGTTGCTTTGACTTCTATTTCATCGAATTCAGGAATGGTTAGTTTTTGTTGCTGAATTTCAGGTAGTTTAGGCAAATGGTCAATAATGTCCTCCATTTCATAAAGATACTGTTCATTTGTTTCATCTTTCGCACTACAGTCTAAATTACTTGTTAAAAGTTCTTGCTTTATCTTCTGGATTTTTGTTTCAAAAGTATATGAAGAAGGAATGAAGCTTTTCATTTCTACTAACATAGATGTTGGATTCATGACTAAAGAGTTTGGTGCTGTTGTTTGAATTGTTGTTGTGCCGATTGTTGACATTTTTATTTTTTTATACAAAATAAAAAAATAAAAAAAATAAAACTAACTTTATTTTTTATTTCGGGAAAATTCATGAAAATTCAAGAGGTTAGAAAAGAGGGTAGAAGACAGGTTAGATCTAACCATCTACCCTAAATTATATTTTTGGGTCCTTTACACTCATTACGAAGAAGTCTTGACAAAACATTTACGAAGAAGTCATGAAAATTCAAGAGGTTAGAAAAGAGGGTAGAAGACAGGTTAGATCTAACCATCTACCCTAAAATATATTTTTGGGTCCTTTACACTCATTACGAAGAAGTCTTGACAAAACATTTACGAAGAAGTCATGAAAATTCAAGAGGGTAGAAAACAGGTGAGAAAACATTTACGAAGAAGTCTTGACAAAACATTTACGAAGAAGTCTTGACAAAACATTTACGAAGAAGTCTTGACAAATTCAAGAGGGTAGAAATGAGGTTAGAAAACAGGTTAGATCTAACCTCTTCACCTAAAATATATTTTTGGTGTAAATTTATGTTAAAATAAATGGTACCATTAATGATATCATGACTGTTCTCGTTCATGTCTGATTTACATCTAATGAAAAAGTTTAGAAGAATTTTCTTATTCTTTCTGGCTTATTTTTGTCTTTCCAGTACTCCCGCTCTAATGGTCCCAGATGTGTTGGCTTTGACTCTCTCAAGTTCTTAGATGGTATAACATCTTCAACGCCTCCTTCATATCTTACTTTATAAGTGTCATCGTTTATGTTGTAGCCAAGTATTTCAATAACCACTCCTCGCTTTGCTTCGTCAATGGTTTCAGCAAGTTTGCCATTACTACTTTCGACTAATTTGTGACGAGGGTAAAACGCAATAGAGTCGTCGGCAGCTTTTATAAGATATCCATTACCTTGCGTAGAGTCTACGAGATAATAGTTTCTACTTAACCTTAAACGTTTCTTTGTCAACGGTTTGTCGTCAAGAACTACACGAACTTTTGTACCAGGAATGAGGGTAAATTGTGTTGAATTTCTGATATTTTGTGTTTGACTTCGTTTCTTTTGTATATACTTTTCTTCTTGTTGTTGTGTCATTGAATTTGGTGTATGTCCTGTTGTAGAATGTGTTGAGGAATTATATACTTCGCGAAAATGTTTCATTGTTTCTTCGATAAAGTCTCGCTCTTGGTTTAAATCTCTGAGCGTTCTTATGAAGCGGTTTATGATGCCGAGTATGTTATGGTTATGGTCTTCAGTAGTGTAGTGAGTTATGTTATGCTTAATGAGAAAATCTGTGATTTCATTGCTGAGGTATGCACCGTCTTGGTCTGATGTTAAAGTACTTGGGTTATGTTCTGCTACAAACTTTTGTAAAACTCTTAACACTTCACGAGTTCCTTTATTTCTCATTATATACGCAAAAGCTTTGCGAGTGTTAACATTTATGAAGATGAGGAATGGTTTATGTCCTCCTTTTCTGCTTTGAATGAGAGTGTCAAATTGGTATGCGTCAGGAGCGTTGGAGTAAATTGGTAAAAAGTAGTCGTAAGGGTTTATTTTTGTTTGATGTACAACATTTTTGTCAAAGAACCTTTTCACTTCAGCTCTGTTAGTAAATCCCCAACTCTTTGCAGCTTCATTGAATTTTTTAAATGACCTCCATGGATGTTGTTCGAATACTTCTTTCAAGCTCATTTATGTAAAGTTAAAGATTTCATTCTAGGCTCAAGCGCGTTCATTGAACTCTATACCATGCGAATATAGTCACAAATGGTGGCATATAATCTGCACCCGAGCCTGTTGGATTTGTTGTGAAAGTATGGACATGATTTCCTCCTGGTTCAGTTGGTCGAAAAGTCTTTTTTGCTGCATTGTTATAAGATGGAGATAAAACGTCATTGCCAGCTTTATATTCTGAGTTGTATAATGGATGGTCTCTTAATGAGTGGCTATGGTCGCCAGAAAAGTTTGTAGTTCCTGTATGAGTGTGCGCAGGTAAGTTTGCTTCTTTAATTTTCTTTGAGCCTCCTGTTTGCTTTGAAGAGTTAGCACAGTATAAGAATTTGTCTACAATCTGTTCCCAAGTACCAAAACCTAAAACTGTTTCTGGATTTGTTGAATTCATTGACGTATAAATAGAACCTATAGGATATAATGTTTGAAGTATTTCTGTCTTTAATGTTTGAAGCTCTGTTTTATCTGCTTTCTTATCTAACATTGTTGGTAGTTCATATGCTTCAAAGTTTCTGGCATGATCTTCGATATTCCTGCAACTCTTATCTAAATTGTTAAGAGTATCTTTTACGCTTGTACTTGGATTTTCTAATGGTGCACTTGAACCAAGGTCAAAGTTCAATATTATGTCGTCTGCTCTAACAGTAGTGAAGGATTCATGTGTATGGTTCTTGTCTGCTTTCTTATCTAACATTGTTGGTAGTTCATGTGCTTCAAAGTTTCTGGCATGACTTTCAATATTCCTGCAACTCTTATCTAAATTGTTAAGAGTATCTTTTACGCTTGTACTCGGATTCTCTAAAGGTGCACTTGAACCAAGGTCAAAGTTCAATATTAAATCGTCTGCTCTAACAGTAGTGAAGGATTTATGTGTATGATTTTTGTCGGCTTTACTATTTAATGTAGCTTGAAGTTCATTTATATCGGAGATATTGTGTTTATGTTCTTTATCTGCTTTTTCGGCTAATTTCTCTTCTATCTCATTTATTTCAAGTTCATGCCTACCACCACCTCCCGAAGAAGTATTTTTCTTCAGCTCTTGAAGAACATCCACTTCACCATCTTTGGTGTCAATAATGAGACTTTGTGTTAAAACCTTTCCTGTCTTAATGGATGTTTGTAAAACTTCTTCTTCACCGTGTTCGGGGTCATGGTCGTCATCATATCTTGTGAAATCAGAGATGTTGTCATACATTAAGCATATCTGTCTCAAAAGTTCTGCTATTTGAAACTGGAACGAAAGATATACAGAACTTTCATCATCTCCTAAAGTCAAGTCTGCTTTCTTAAGTATTTCTTGAATGTATGCAATGAGAACAGAGTACCTTGGAAAATATTCGAACAATATTTCATTAGCTGTTGGTTTTGGTGGTTCTTTTGGAGTTTCTGTTGTTTCAGTTCCTTCTGTAGGTTCTGTTGGAGTTTCTGCATCTCTTGACTTCAATGCTCTTGCTCTCAAAGACCTAAATGTTAGAGCACCGGGTTTTACAAAGGACTTTATAAATGCTTTAATAGTTCCTGGTAAGTTATTGTTAGCATTAAGTAAGTTCCTTATGCTTCCATCATGTACGTCCATAGCACTATGTAAAAAATCTATACTTTTCTTGTAGTCAGCAATAGACTGACTGTGATTTTTTAAAGATTTGTCAATACCTTTAAGCCAATCTTCATGCATGTCTGATACTGAGCCAAGAATATCATTTGCTTCCTTTAGTGTATTTTGTGCTTCTCGTAAGTATCCAATCCCGTACGTGCATTGTTTGCTATACGTCTTACAGTATCTATTTGACTCCTTGTTTCTTGCATCCAACCAGATAAAGTTTTAATAGTATCCGAACCATTTGAAATGAAGTTCAAAGCATTTTTAACGTCATCTAAAGCTTCTTCACCAAGTACCGCCCATATCTTTCCGATTTGGTATTGAAGAACTCCATATGAAGCAGCTGTTAAACCAGTATTTATAAGGTTCCATATCCATGATTTAGCAGTTTTTCCATCCTTTCCATCTACACCATCCAAACCGTTCTCGCCTTGAGGTCCTTGTATTCCTTGTATTCCTTGTATTCCTTGTATTCCTTGTGGTCCTTGAGGTCCGGTGTCACCCTTCTCTCCTTTCAGTTCATCTTTATGTTCGTTATAATATTCTAATGTCATAAGGTGTACATCATTACTGCTACCAGCAACGCCAAGAATTTGTTTCTCATTCATGACTAAATTCTTTAGGCATTTAATGTTGTCGTCAAATCGAAAGCTCTTTAACAATTCAATGAGAACATTTAATACTTTCACTAATGAGGCATCTACTGTAGAATTTATATATTGCACCGTTCCATCATTTATGATAGGAACTTTACTTATTGTAATGAATGGGTCATAAGTGTTAAAAGTATCGAAATCAATGACTTTTTTAGTTTTTCCATCGTCAATGACTAAATCATTGCCTTCAATGGTTAATGTTGAGTTTTCGTTTACTAGTTCATGTGCTCTTCTTGCTTCATTTGTTTCATACGCATATGCAGCAATAGTCATATTTTAATGAGAATAAAATGTTGTTCTATTTGCAAAGTACAGACCCAAACGAATACGGGACAGTAAAGCTACAAACAAACTTAGGTCTACAGAATGAAGCACTTGCTTTCAGAGTTGTTGACTTCAATACTATCGCAACTTTTGTCATAACAGATGAAACAGATTTCATAGAGATTGAAATAGATGACAAAAGAAGTGTTATAACATTTCCTAACAGAACTGGGTATAGAATAGATAAAATTGCTGGAGTCATAAATACTCTCATAAATGAAGAAACTATTGACAACATAGATGTCGAACTCTCTTCTGAGGGAACATTGAAGTTCAGTAGCAAGAAAGAGTTCAAGATACCAAGAATGAGTCATAGAGTTCAACTTCTTTTAGGAGCATACCATATGACATTTCCTTTGAAAAGTGTTGACAAAACGATTGAGATGAAATCTGTTCCATACGTATGTTATGGCAATTGTTTGTACATTGAGTCAAAAATAGCTAATGTCACAGGTATTTCAGGAGTTAATAGTAAAGGTTCAGTAGAATATAAGTCTTTCTGTTATGCAGTAAATTCAATGTTCATTCCAAATGTTCCTGTCATAGCAACTCATTTAGGTAAATGGGTTCGCATTAGTCCTCATAATTTGAAAGACATGCAATTCAGACTTGTTGACTTTCAAGGAGAGCCTGTAGAACTGAAGGCACCAGTGCGAATGACTGTTGAAGTTGACTTTTTAGAAAATATTAAATGCAACAGCTTACAAGAGAACTCAGAGCTAAAAATATAAAGTATGAATGTTATGTATTAGGTCATGAACTTTGGTTGTTGCTGTTTGATGAAACAAATGAGTTAGTTATGTCAGTCAAGAGAACAGAAAAATATTGTGTTAGTGAAAACTGCACCAAGTCAATAAGATTAGGTTTGCATTATGAAGATGAGTTCGATACTGTTGAAGAAGTTTTGGATAGATATTACAAATTGCTTTAATTTACTAAAACATATTTCAAGCAAAGTTTATATTCTGTTGAAAGTTTTGTATACTCGTTCGAATATTTATACTTAAACTCAACTCCTGTAGTTCCTGGTGTTTCAATGATGCGGATGTTACCTATTTTCATGAATGGTGGCGTTTGACCACAGCATTCGATTTCAGGGTCGAGATAGTCAATGACACATTGTTTCCCTGTTATTCGTGAGATAACATTTTCAAGGTCCTCCTTTGTTAGAATTATTTGGTTCTTACTTATAAGATTTGTCAAAAGCTTCTTATCGTCTTTGAGTAAAATTGTTTGGTATAACTGAAGAAGGTAATGGTCTACGTTATCTGAAGGATTTGTTTGAACATTTGTGTAAGGGTTGTCGTTGGCTTCTCTTGAAAGAATTTGGTCCAGTGGTGGATACTCTAACTTAACATCTGATGTAGCGTTAGCGTTTGAAGCTGTGTTTAAATTCACGGATTTCAGCTCTGGTTCTGGTTCTTTCAAACACTCTGAACTATAGTTCTTTATGACAATATTGTTTGTCGTTCGTGAGTCAACATTTGATGTTGGTTCAATTGGAACATTAACGGCACCAGCTAAGATGGATTTGCTTCTCATTTCATATAGAATAAAAACCTTTTATATGTATGAAATGAACAATATACTCGACAAGGGTTTGAATGTAAAGCTAACGAATGAAAATATTGTTGAATTCACTGAGACAGGTGCTGTGTATAAAGATGTAGAACTACTGAACAAAAGAGCTAAGGGAAGAAGCAGGAACATGAACAAAGGGTGGAAGCCTATAAAAATTTATGTCAATGATGGCTCAGGAGGTTCAAACATAAAGTATGCAGAAAGTTATAGAGTTTATGCTCTCAAGGTGAAAAGCCTTCATTTAAGAACAGCTATTCTAACGCATATCCTCAAAAGCTAACGGATGGAGAAGTGGATGATATGAATGACAGCAAAAATATTAACAGAAATGGCGACAGAGATGCATGGAATTTGTTTACCATCAGTCAATTGAAGGTTAAGCTTTAAAACAATGTTGGTCGTTCCCATGGAATATTTTTGACTTTAATGGTATTAGTCATGATATGAATCTCAAGGTATGAACGAGGAGAGATGAGAGACTTATATGCTTCCCAAATTTCTTCAAAAGGTAATGTTATACCTGACTGTTTCCAAATGAGTTCAATATCATAGCGTGAGAAACCTTGAAAGATAACGAAGTCAGTTATGAGACGTTTTATGTTTAAAGCAAGGAAACGCCATGTTTGCATAAGTATTGCTACAGTTAAATGGTAATGTCTGACTTTAGTAATGATGTTAGCTAATGGTGAGTCAGGCTTTGACACTAAACCTTTTCCGGCGAAGTCGTCACAAACAAGCAGAGTGTTTGATGGATATTTTTTGAAGGGGTATTTTGAAAGTTTTGACAGAATGTAGTTTGTAAGTCGTTTCATATCGTAAACTCCTGAGTATTGACGTAAGTGGTGTTTGTCAATAATTCTTTCCATCTCCTCAGAAGTCTTTTGCATTCCTGACTGTATAAATTCAACGATGGCATAATATTTCCTCTTACGTCGAATGTAACGTTGAAGAAATTCAATGAGTTCGCTATCTGGAACTTTAACGACAGAGGCTTGAACTTTTGACATAAATGTTTTCGCTGTTGAGTCCATAGAGTCTGAAGTTGCTGATATAATGATTTGGTCATAATATGAGTCATTTCCTAAACGTTCTGTTATGAGTATATGACGAATGAGGTTGAATGTCTTTCCTGACCCCATCTTTCCACAATAGAAATAAACGCCATTTGAACAGAATTCATAATCTTTGCTGAAAGGAAGAATAAGAGAAGAGTTAAGTTTGTCTGTAGTTTCATTCATGTTTTCATCTACGTCATGTATTAAATGCTTCATTTTATTTCCATTAAAAATGCAAGTCAGAAATATTCAGAACATAGCACCGAGTCTAACTGACAAGAGTATAAAGATATACTATGAACACGTTATGATGAAACCAACCAAAATTCAAGAAAGTCAGTATACTTATGAATATCCAAGGCACTGGGTAGAGTATGTAGGAGGTGAGAAAGCTATTGAAATCAGACAGGTTCGAAGTATTCCAGCAGGAAGAACAATATTATTGAAGAACTTTAATGTTTTGAGGTATAATGATGAAACAAAGAAGCAAGATAGTTTTCCTGTTGCTGTGTATGTGAACTTAGATACAGGAGATGACATGAAAGTTTTTAACACAAAACTTCAAACAGTAGTGAGAGAACAACTGACTGCGGAAGGACATCCATTACCTTCAGAAGTTAGCATAGCATATAATTTTGAAACAAACACAATAGATTTTAAAGTCGTCTCTGCAAAGAAGTCAGGATTTACATTTAATGAAGCAGATGTATATTCGAATGAAAACTTCAAAGCTATTGCATGGTTAGATAATGACGATTGCTTTAAGAAAATATTTAAATACAGTGACTCAACGATGTCAATAGATGACCTTCGTGGAATGTTACCATCGACGTTTATAGTTGAAGGTTCAGCAGGATTGCTTACAAGATTGTCAATTGGTGGTATTTGGTCTCGTGAGAACATTGTTATAAAATCCAGTATAAGTGAATTTGCTGAAGAATCTATATTATGTCTTTCAAACTATATGTATTCGCCACCG